CAGGGGATTCGTGCCGGGATGGCTTGTCACAAAAATCAGAGTGTACGTGCCCCGCTCCGCTCCAGGACCATAGGGGCAATGTGAATGAGTCAATGATTTTTCGTAACCGGGAGGGTCATGGGGTTAGGGACTGTTCTCTGGGCAGCAGTTGGTTTCCTCTACAGCACACAGGCAGCTGATGCTCATGATGCCAGAGCGAGGGCTAGTTTCCTGGGGCAGAATGCCGGGTGAGGGCCGGCTCCATGACAGCAGAAAGCTGGTAGAAGGTTTGGGGTTGAGGTCTAAGGGTAAACCTTAAGCCTTGTTTCCAGAGTCTTTGCAAGCGTAGGCGCTGCCGACTTGCTGGAGGCGTCGCTGCTGGGCGACGTGAAGCAAGCTCGGTGGGTGCTAGAGCTTTGGCCATAGATGCGGGCTTCGCAAAACTGGATTCTCAAGGATCGTTTACTATATACCTTTTGTGGTAGGGAGGTGTCCTGTGGTAACTGCTGAATGCCGAAGCCTGAAGCATCATGTCTTCTTTCCAAAAGGCATGGCTCTGAAACGATAGAAGTTTCAGAGGTGATGTTGCCAGATCCTCCTGCACTGACTACATGACGGTTTTGTGGCCGACGGTCACATAGCATCAGGGACTTTTTCAGAAGTACAACTGCTCCCCGTGAAAAAATGTTAGGCTTGCAAGGTTGTGGGGGACAGGTCCAGCAAGGGAGTTCGGGTTTGCAGCTGCAAGCCTTGGCGTCTCCTCTGCGAGCCGAGGATTTGACAGTTGTTCGTTGAATACGGCTTGAAGTAAGCCCCGCGCTTGCCCACCTTGTGTCCTGAGTTCTTATAAAAGCTGACATGGCAAGCTCTGTGCGCAGACGTCTGGACTTGAATGGGGCCTTGAAAGCACACAGTTGTGGATCCCTCGTTGAGAAGTCTCCAATTCAACGGCCCGAAAGGATCCGAAATCACGGTGCAGGAATTTGGAGATAAACGAGTTCTCCAGGTCAGGGAGAGAGGCATTCCTGCATCTGTCTTTACTGGCTTGATGTTTTGCTGGGTGTTCACTTGACTGTCTTGGGGCGAGGAATGTCCAGAGGTTAGTCTCATGGACATCCCAGCTCTAGACTCCACACACTAGTTCCAAAAGGGGTTGAGAAGAGAAATCAAACACAGAGGCGTTCTACTCATCCTGTCCGACTACCTTGACTCCTTCTTTCCTCAGACTTGGCTGATTAGACAATCCAACCAGTTCGTTGGTTCATTGCATGATCTAGGCATCTGTGCTTTACACGATTTCTAGCAACCCCCCTCGGCGCAAAGGATACGGATGGCAGTTCTCATGGGGTTGTCACTGGAAACTTGGCATTAACGATCACCAAGGTTTACGAGTTTGGGGGGCCCAAGGTTAGCAGTTAGTAGTTATCGCCTTCACCCCGCATCTTACCGCTTGCTTTTTTGGTTTCTTGATGCTGTTTCCCTCTTTTTCCTTGAAGACCTCCTCATTCCAAGTGATGGAGCAGAGTACAGTAGATGAGCAAGCTAGCAGAAACGGCACCGCCGGGAGGCACTTCTTATGCTTAGCAGTGGGATGCCAATACATACCCAATTATACTAGAGTAGTTTCCATTCTTTTCCATTATCCCAGTATAAGCCCTAAACGCAAGATTCTCTGGCTTCCTTAATTAGAAAGATTGGTCTTCTTGTGATCGCCAGTACTGTGCTCCTTGTTTTTCTGCCAGCTCTTAGTCAGTCACCATCCTTGACAGCGGTGTCGCAGTCACAATAATGTTTACAATTAGGGTCATTGCTGCCACCCTTCATGGCCGAAACCCTGCCTGACCCCTACATGCCTGACGGCCGCATATGGCCCTTAACCCTACATTCAGCAGGTTGGGTTGTTTTTCAAAGTCAAAGCCTCCTGACATTACACCATGCGCGCTAGTGTTGAAACACTGTAGGCGGCCAATTTGTAAGGTTGTCCTAAACCCTAGAAGCTCAATATAGAATTCCAGGTTCCACTATGTCCTTGTAATTTCCATTTGATTTTCCATTTGATGTTGCACAAATCCTAAATCTCCAAGCCCAGCGAGATGAACCTTGTCCTGCTGTATGGCCATGCAAGTGGCAAAACCTCAGCCCGAATCCTAAACCCCACAAATCCAGCAAGGGAGGGGAGACTCCAGTAAGGCACGGGTTGGCAGCCGCTGCACGTAAGCGCCGCCCAAGGGCACCTGGAAATCTCCCGTGCTCTGCTGCGCTTCCCGGCAGAAGCCAGACAGTGCGATCTGGGGTTCAGGGTGTAAGGGTTTAGGGTTTGAGGGGGCGTTTGCATAAATTAGAAACCCCTATTATTTCAGGGTACCGAGAAATGGATTAGCGTCCGTATATTTGGATTCATGTTGGGCCCCTCTATTACTGCAGACCATCCATTCAGCAAGCCTCAACATTGGAAAGAAAAACAACATGCTCGTGAGCTATTGCAGACAGAATGAGAATTGTACTCTAGGCATGGCCATGTTGCGTCTCCATGGTTGACGTCAGAAATCCTTAGGGCTCTTAAATTATTGTAATCCCTTGAAATTGGAACCTCTCGATTTCGTTCATCAACTGCAGCTGTTTCTTTGCAGCGGTTATGTCAAGTGACAGACTCCAGGGATGCAAATATACAGATATGATACCTACATTGGGCCGTAAAGTCTATAGATCTTACCTACATTGGGCTATTTAGATCCCTATACATCCCTGTACCTAGCTTCCATTTGATTTTCTGTTTGCCTTTTCATTTGACGTTCCATTGTTAGGGTGATATCCCTATATACCCCCTTTTTCAGTAGTCCTATATAACCCTACATATTTGCCCATACATCTCTGTAGTTTTAGCAGGGAATTACATTGGTCGATTTGGCTTTGTAGGGAAGATGTATGGATCCCTATACATCCCTACAAACTCCTAGTTTCCATTTTGTGTTCCATTTGCTTTTTTCGTTTGATTCTCCATTCTCAGGATAATATCCCTATATACTTTTTTCCGTCATCGTATATAACCCTGTATAAATCTACGTGACCTTATATATATTATAGATATCCCTATGTATATGGGGATGCATATGTCCCTATATATCCTTGTAGTAGGGTAATGTATTGGGCTATTTGGATCCCTGGGGAGGATGTTACCTACCTGGTCAGGTCAGAAAGCCGAAGTCAACCCACGCTCGGAGACTTGGCTGTCCTTCTAGGGTTTCGGGGATATAGGGGTTTAAGGGTTGTAGGGTTTAGGGATTTAGGGGTTTGTGGATTTAGTGGTTTAGGGCTTCGGGGTTTCAGGGTTATAAGGTTTAGGGGTTCTAGGGATAAAGGGGTTTAAGGCTTTAGGGATTAGGGCTTCTAAGGTTTACAGTTTAAGGCTTCCTTTAAGAACGTTTGTTTCATAGCTTGGGCAAGAAGATCTGAATCAGCATCGGCAAGGTGTGTCAAGACCCCCACCGGAACTATAGCCTTATGGCTATGAAGAATTCCAGGCAGAATTCCCCATTACCAAAAGCTATAGGATTCAGGCCTGGCTTAGTCGGACCGTCATGCCTTCCTTTAGCCTACAGTCCCCCTTAAGTAGATAGAATATAGGGTATATGGGGATCTTATTATAATATACCCAAAATCATACTCTATCTACTTAAGGGGGGGCTATAAACCCTAAACCCATTCAACAAGGACTCTGCTGGTGCCATCTCGCCGCTGTCCCTGGCATGCTTGTCCGGGCAGCCGACGCTGGCTACATTCGGACATTACCTTCAGTTCATCCTAATACGGGTCCCTACACTTGGGTTCCTATTAGGATACAGGTCCTTAAATAAGTTGCACTCATTTGGGGGAACAGTAATTTTAGCAAGCTCTATGCGGCAGACGTTGCCTGAGTAACTGCAACATAGGGTCTCGGACTATAGAGCATGGCGGTGCTGTTGAGTACTGGACAGACATTGCAGGTGGCCGGGGCAAATACCGTTGCAGGTTTTTAGGCTCTTACTAATATTTGGAGCGACTAGGGAGGGCTCATGTGGCTGGGACTTGAAGATTTTGATGCTTGCTCATGAATTCAGTGCGAATGGTCAGCCAAAAGCTTTGACGGGCTTTCCGAAACATGTCACAACAAGCTTCATTCATATGCGTATGAGAGGTTGTTCCAGCCTTGGCTATCCTTTAGGATTGAGCAGCAAAAGCAACTTTGTGACTTCATAAAACACAGCCGGAAGAATCCCCATAAATATTGTTGCCACTCAGTCACGCCTTCTCTTGCCATCCGCATTCCTCACCTTCATATCCAAGAAGAGCGTTATCATGGGTGTTGCGGTTCGGTCCGGTTCGGTTTGGGTTTACTTCGGTTTA